GAGCCATAAAGAAGAAAGAAAAAAAAAAAAATACGTCAAACATTGTCAAAAAAGTTCGATTTTTGTTGTGTTTCGCACTGCAGATAAATATTTCTCAGAATAAAAATTGACCCGTGCAGTTGTGTGATAATCTTTAAAACGCTAAAACTAACATATTTCCTATGATACAAACAATTCACAATGGAGTTCTTGGTACTTTTCCTGTGTGGTGTTGTCGTGAACTTGCCTACTGCTTATTCTCAACAAAAAGATGAAATAATATTTAATTACAACAATACGTGAGTATTTTGAATGCAAGTTAAAATTAACAAATGTAAAATATCTTGCCCTTTTCTTATTTTACTGCTTAAAACTATATATCAAGCCAGGAAGTAGGTATAACTTAATATTCATACCCAACTATAATAGAAAGCTAATAAAACAATAGTCTAATTACTTATCTAATTATAATAATAAGAAGGCCAATGCCCAGCTTAACATTAATCTTTTTAGATAGTGTTTATTCATCAAAATGTTTCTTGCAATGGACTCCTTTGTCTTGATATTATTATAACAATTGATGTTTGTTTTTAATTCCTGCTGACCTACTAGTTTACCTATCTGTGCTGATGATTTTATTTTAACTTGGAAATATTTGCTCTGGTGTGGACTGACATCAATCTTATTTTTCTGTAACCATTTACAAAGTGTATGTATAATAAGAAGTATTCTGGGCATCCATATAAGGAAACATGTATAAATATTTAGGGAAGCAAACAGCAGTTAACAATGTGATACAATTACCAACCAAACTTTAAGTTTGCCAAAACAGTTTTCACAAATATACTTCTTACTTCTTACACTCAATTAAATCAACTATCTATTTAAATACCTTCCTAGACTGCATCTCACTTAACAACAGTTGTGATTGCAGTCAAATACCTGCCTTGTTCTGCATAAAAAAGTTACAGTAAATAATCTAAAACTTTGTTTTAAAATGTTACTTTTGTTGAAAGTAAGAAATTATTATTCTGTGGTAAGAAGAAGAAAGAAAAATAATTTATTTGGTTCAAATATGGTTTTTAAACAGTAAATAATTTGACAGAATTTATTGAGCCATCTTGAGTGTCACTGGTGATGCAATAAATTTTGACTCATCAAAATACAATTCATGCCTGTGATTTGTTAAATTGAAATGGATATTTTGCTAAGATTTACTTGTTTAGGTAATTATAAACATCTACTTTTCTTATCAGTTGCAAATTATATCCCAACTAAGATACCACAGTAAATGTACGGATGACGGCACAAAATGCTAAACATTTTAGGACTTTACGTATTTGGAATTAGGGTGAATTTGCAACAAAAGTCTGGTCTGCTGCTGCTGTAACTTACGTAGGTAACAATATAATAAAAAAACTATTTTGATAATTCAAGATAAACAATAACACAATCTATTGATTGTTATTACTCATATTTTGATAAGTTTGTTATATTGTTTTATCTAGGTTTTACCAATGATATCATCTATGCCACGGTACTTTTTCACTACATATTATAAAAGTACTGACTGTTAATGTTCACGATAAACATTCAGAGTTTAGCACTTACTAAAGCCTGGTCCGTGAGCACGTAGAATTTTGTCCAATGACCCCAAGCTACTCATCCTTATCGCTCGCGCGTAATTTTGTTGCTGTCGCGCTCGCACACTCACTGCGGGCGCCCGTCGCACAGTCGCGACAGCAATATAATTACGCGCGAGCGATAAGGATGGGTAGCTTGGGGTCATTGGACGAAATTCTATGTGCTCACAGACCAGGCATTTAACACACTTTATTGTACATCACACAAGACAAGAAAAAAAGATAGAAATGTACAAAAGATCAGCACAATTTAGGCTGTATTATGTCTATAGAGCTATCTCTTCCAGACAGCCTAGAGCAGTGGTTCTTAACCTTTAAGTCACGAGGGACCATTTTACCAAATTTCTGTCTTGTCAGGGACCACTTTTTTTTTTTTCAAAATTCTATGAAAGGGGAGATCGATTTCTCGCACACTGTACGCCGTTTGCGTTGTGTTGACTCGACTCATCACGTCACGTCACTTTTGTTTATTATGATGTCTTCGTGGACCACTTGGAATGCCTCCAGGGACCACCAGTGGTCTGCGGACCACCGGTTAAGAACCACTGGCCTAGAGGGAATAATTTCAAAGCTAGTAGGCTATGTCTAAAGCTAGATTATATTATACATATTAACACACCTAATGTAGTGTTTAATCAGCGTTGCGAGTTTTTTTTTTCGCCAATTCGGGACTTTCGTACTTTTTGAGTGAAAATAGCGGGATTCTTCCGTCAGAAGCGGGACATAGTAAAAAAACGTATATAATCAAAGGTTTTCAAATATTTATCCTTTTATTTGACTTAAAATTACGTTTACGTGACAATAGATAGCAAAAGTAGCCATAGAAAATGTATTTTAACAAAAAAATAATATTTTAAATCAGATTTACTCTATCGTTAAATTCGTCTTTAGAATAAAAAAAGAAAAAAAAAAAAACAAAAATCGAAGTAAAAAAATTATTCTTTAGAATAATATGGAGTTTCAAACAATAGTCTGATGAAGTCAGTGTCTCTTTCCGAAAAGCGGGACAGAGCCTGTCCCGCGCGGGACATTTAAATTTGATTTAAAAATCGGGACGTCCCGCCAAAATCGGGACGTCTGGCAACGCTGTGTTTAATTCACATCTGTTTAAAATACCGAACATACAAATCTGAAGCACATCTGAAGTTTTTCTGACATTTGACGTTACAAAAGCACCCTCCCGTGCCGCGCGCTCCCTACCTCAGCACTGATCTATACTTACATTTACACAGTTTAATCTAATTTTATAATGCAGTCTTACATTATATCGTTATTTCCATTCAATAAATAAATTATAATCTATATACAGGGTGGAATTTTGTAATGCCACCTGGAGGGAAAGTACTCTTATAATATAATATCATATAATATAGTACTGTATATAAAAATGAAACCCGTTTTCCGTTGTCACGACATAACATGAAAACGGCTTGACCGATTTGGCTGATTTTTTTTGTAGTTTTCTAATACTCTGTATAAGGTTTTTACGGAAAAAAATATAAAGAAAATCTCTACGCTAAGGCGGTACGAAGTTCGCCGGGTCAGCTAGTCTATCTACTATATAAATAAAAATGAATTGATGTTCGTTAGTCTGATTTAAACTCGAGAACGGCTGGGCCGATTGAGCTGATTTTGGTTTTAAAATGTTTGTCGTAGTCCAGGGTAGGTCTAAACGGTGAGCAAATACGCGCGCGATATTGTTTTTCTGTGACAGACAAAATTCCACGCGGGCGAAGCCGCGGGCGGAAAGCTAGTAAATAAATAAATATCCTTGGACATTTACACTGCGCTTCTAGTCCCAAACTGAGCAAAGCTTGTACTATGGGTACTGGACAACGGATATAAACATACTTAAATACTTTTTTTTTGTAAATACTTATTATAGCATAGAAAACACTAAAGGTCATTATCCTTCCTACCCACATTTTATAGTCCTACGATATTACTTATTTCTGCACAACAGATAATGTTAATTTGTTACAGATATAAGTACAATGTTCCCTACACGGTGTACGTTAACAAACAGACAGAGTACATCATGGAATTTGGAGGGGTAAGTTCACTATCATATGTTATAGGCCTTTTACAAATGTTTTAGTAATGACAAGTATGTTTGTATTTGTGTGTATAAAAAGTTTAGAAGCTTCATTCTAACCCTAAAAACCAAGTTTTCAATGGGCTGTATTATTTAGTAGCTTAAATCAATCGATACGTTATCAGTCAAATGAGTTCGTGACCATACGCCATTGTCGCCAAAGTCTATGGAAAGTCGCAGACAGCAATTAACAAGGACAATATGCGCATGGTGGTGACAATATGCCAAACCCTCCAATTGTCTCTGGTAGATTGGAGAGCTGCACCTACAAGGTGGACCGACGACCTCGTAAAGGTAGCAGGGAAGCGCTGGACGCTGGCCGCTACCAATCGATCAACATGGAAAGCATTGGGGGAGGCCTATGTTCAGCAGTGGACTTCCTATGGCTGAAATGATGATGATGATGAGATTGGAGAGGGTCCTGCGGATACTAAGTGTAACAAACTTACAAATACGCGTACGCGTCTAGGACGCTACGCCACCGTGAACATTGACGTTAAATGACCTGATGACGGAGTGACCTGATGATGGAATGGAGGCCACGTAGCGGGAAACGCAGCGTAGAACGTCCACCCAAAAGGTGGACCGACGACCTCATAAAGGTAGCAGGAAGGCGCTGGATGCAGGCCGCCACTAACCGGCCATTATGGAAATCAATTGGGGAGGCCTGTGTTCAGAAGTGGACGTCCTGTAGCTGAAATGATGATGATGATGAGTGATAAATTGTATTTGATGATGATGATAATAATTATGTTTCCAGGACGTCGACAGTCCACGCTACGATACTCCCGCCCGGGTGACAGTGGCGAGCGACTTCGCCAACCGAACGTACCCTCTGTTCATCACCGCTCGTCAGCAGAAAGGTACGTTTATTTTACTTTGATCAACTACTAGCAAGTTCCCGAAGTTCAGGTTGGACCGACGACCTCATAAAGGTAGCAGGTAGGTGCTGAATGTAGGCGCTACTAACCGGGCGATGTGGAAATCATTGGGGCGTATGTTTAGCGATGGGCGTCCTGTGGCTGAAATAATAATGATGATGACTAGGAAGTTAAGGTGGAATTGCTTCTATCTTTAACACCGCGATGCAGGTTTACAGACACGGAGGTGTGTGCCTCAGTAAGCATGTATCAGCGCCATCTATCGAGTGACGCCTGATAACAATGTGTAGGGCTAGTCGATAGATGTCGCCACCTACAATGTCTCAGTAGCTCGGCAAGCTAAAGGTTGTTGTTTATTGATTAGGGAGAAATAATTATGCGAACACCAAGCTTCCGCTCCAATTGGTGCAAACCGGGCAAAGGCGATTTTTACACTGCACCGCGCTCCTCCGCGGTCCGCGTGGCGACATATAATTACGAATCCCGCGCGCAAACGTGTTGTCAGTGTGTTGTGCCGCGCGTGTTTTCTATACAAACTGAGGTACTTCAACTTGCATATAATGATTAAATCTGTCGTCCCGCGTACCGCGGCGGAGCGCGGTGCAGTGTAATAATCACCAACTTTTAATAATGATAATGTTATTTCTTCCAGGCGTGTTCTCCTGGCAACTCCCAATGCTGGTCCAGACGCCGGTCAGCCTGGAACAGTTCACGAATATATCCCGGACGCTGTGCCCTCACAACAACCCCTACTCTGAGGACGAGGAGTCGTGCGGTAAGGTTTTTAGTTGGAATATCTTCTTATTGATTTGTTTAAAGGCATTAAGCCAAATAAATTGGTAAAGTCCGGTCGCCGAGCACGTAGAATTTCGTCCAATTACCCCAATCTACCCATCCTTATCGCTCGCGCGTAATTGCTGTCGCGCTCGCACACTCACTGCGGGCGCCCGTCGCACAGTCGCGACAGAAATACAATTACGCGCGAGCGACAAGGATGGGTAGCTTGGGGTCATTGGACAAAATTCTATGTGCTCACGGACCAGGTTTTACATAAGGCGAACTGAATACTTAATGCCACGATAGCCGAACGGTTTAGGGGTGACCGACTCGTGATCCGGGGAACGCGGGTTCGGTCCCCGCCGCCGCTCGACTATTGTGGTGAGCTCACTCGTGACACAAGCATATTTAGCTTAGCACGAGGGGCTAACGGGACTATTAGTAATTTGTGCAATAACGATTACTAATAATCCTTTGACAGATTATTTAAAGTTTTTAAAGTGACAGTTAATGTTAACTAGTCCATTACATTTTAATTATTCTGCCCTTAAAATTGTTTTTGTAAATAATTTACTGGTAAATTAACGAGAAGGGAATTCTGAAGGTAAGTCTAAATATCGTTATGTACCTTAATACAGAACTAAGTACTAAAGTAGACTAAACTTAGGTTGAGTGTAAATTTTGACAGGTAATTGACAGCTGTCAGTCTGACAGAATGTGTGGAATGAACATGAAATGTCAGAAACGTCAATTCCTTTCTGAAAAGACACGTACAATTTTTGCAATAAAAATGTTTTCTGTTGACAAATGTTATGAAAAAAGTCATATTTAAGAATAAGATACTAAATATGATTAATATTTAAAAATTAGGAATCTCAATACTCCATTCTTTACTGCATTTCACAGTGTAGATATAAGGTCTTTTGTCTTCCTTTATGTGCGACAAATAGTTTTAATGTCGTAATAAAAAGTAAAAATAATAATAACACGGTCCCATAATGCTATAATTTATTTTTCTTTCTGTTCACGCCTCCTTAGAATGTGGGATGTGGATTAAAACCAACTGTGGGCCTGTTATACGTAAATAAATATTCATTATATTTGCGGATTGACACGGCTTTCATTGGATGTACTGGATATACAGGGTGGCTGAACAAAATTATTTTATTTTAAACTTTATCTTTAACATAAAACAATGATTAAATTTTTTAATCGCTATTTCTTAGGCCCGCTACATGAAACGGACAGCTCGAACAGTTATCCAGTGATAAATACAGGGTGTGGTTTTGTAAAATAACGTCCATCTCAGTCATCTAGTACACATGAATGTAATTACAAGAAAAATGCAAATAAAATTTTAACTATTACTTTATTAGAAAAAAACCTTGTTCAAACGTCTCTTAAAACTTTCGTGACGACTTCAACTGCTCGAGCGGTTCCGTTTATGTCTATGTATAATACTAAAATTTGTTATGCAGTCCCAGTTTTAAACTAAATTGATATTTCAATAAAATACTACCGCCCTCTATGTGTCACACGTCATTCGTCAAACCCGTGTCAAACCGCACACAATAATCACTTACACATCTGTCAATTGTTGATATTATACAGATTAGTTTAGATGTCAAAGGTAAGATTCCATTTTGACATTGACATTCCATCAAATCGTGGCTAAAAATTCACTGTGTGATTGTGTTTTCACTATTTTTCTAGTTAGTAACGTAAAAAAGTAGAATAAGCACATAGATCAGGGGTGTTCAACCGGTCGATCGCGACTATTAGTCCAGTCGATCGTGACAAGGCAAAAAATACATGATTGTGTACTAAACTATGCTGTTTCATTTAAGATTTCAAGAAGTGTAAGTGGTAGATCGTCCAGGGTATCGTTAGTAAACATTAGATCTTACGTCTAATCAAGTTGGCCACCCCTGACATAGACATTCAACATGTGACTTACTGCCTAGCAATAAAGTACGAATTCGCTCATTGCTACATAATAGTTTAAAATATTATAAAACGCGCATGTATTGCATTCTCATATTCATCATATTTACATTGTTTCTATTACATACACGTAGCATTAATAAATTGCACAGATACCATTTAGCGTCGATATTGAAATACGACTATTAATACAGGGTGTTGATATCAATCCTCGCCATATTTAGAGAGTTGATATAACTTTGATTGATTAGGGATTCAGAATAACCTACTAAAGGTTATTCTGATCACGAATCAGTAAAAAGAATTGACTTCGAAAAATATTTAAAACGAACTTTAACTTTAGTTAGTGAAAGAAAAAATACCTATTTACACTACCTACTTTACGTGGTTTCCTTCAGTAGGCTATCTGACATGATAAGTGAGCGATCCGCGTAGCTCGATGGTGCCGCAGTGTAAACGTATTGCAGTATTGCGAGCCACAGTACAGTTGATATCGCACGGAAAATATTCGCAAAAAAATCCACTTTCGTTTGTTTTTTTTTTGTGGATAATGCGTTTATATAAGTCATAATAGATCACCTAAATAAATATGGCGAGTATTGAAATCAACACCCTGTATAATGATCACAGATAAAGCTTGTAGGTAACCCATTCCTTTCGTTTGAGATACTATTTTACTCGTAATTCTTAACTGCATTTGCTGTGTGCGCATATTGCTTGCACTTATAAACATTGAGACATGGCACACAAACATTTGAATATTGTAATTGGTTACTACCGTATTCATGAATACAAGCATGACACAAACATTATTGAAAAAAAAACATCAATATTGAGGGTGTAAAAATACATAACGAAGCCTGAGAACCTTCGAGAATAGAGAAAAGAATATATTTTGTGGTCAATATAAAAGTTTAAATTCTTATTAATTTTTTAACGCAATGTAAAGACAAGTGCAAACACATCCATTTTTAATGTTACTTGACAGAAAGAAAGGAAGAAAGATTTTTTACACCCTATATTTTTTACTTCATTTTTCACGTCAAAGAGAAGTGGCCAAAAAGTTGATAACACATATTCCAATTGTAACAAAGACGTTGCGAACTTATTGGCTGCTTGTCAATAATTATTTGTCTGATTATACCTTTATCATTAAGCCACGCCCACCTCACGCCCACATCTTGACTCTCTGTATAATATAACAATGAACAGATGTCCAACAAAAGCACAACCACAAAATTGCTTTCTTTTCAGATGTATCATCTTTGAACAATCCAATCGTACACCTGACATCCTCATCACCAGACGATATAAAAGTCACGATTGTAGTCGAAAAAGTTGTGGACTTCTTCATACCTTTAAACTCAGAGACGAATCTAACAAGCACGCCCAGTCAGCCAAAATATTACTTCTACCCTTTCAAGCAAGGACCGAATGACATGATGGATCTGTCAACGCAAAACGTCAAAAAGAAGCACATGTGTCACGAGGAATTGAATGATAAGGAACAGAGTCAGTTGAACTCGTATTTTTTGAGGAGTAGCTTCTTGAAGGATGAGGATGGATGGATGTCCAGGCCGAAAAGTGTGATCGTTATGATTGAGTCGGATGATGACATTTGCGCGGTGGTGTCAATACAGAATTACTCGGTAAGTGATTGATTAAAGGTATAGTTCTTGCAACTCACAAAGGCGAGTGAGCTTTACTTGTGTGTGTACTACATGTACGTACATGCACATAACTATAGTGTTTAACTTTCCCCCGGGACAAACTTGACCTTCACTGGTTGGGTTTTTGTGTCGGTCAAGCTGTAGATCCTGGCTACACAGGAGTTGCAGCGGTGGGAACGAGAGGTGGGAATATTCTCGTTAAGTTATTCCTTATTTCGTTGTGGATAAAAAAAAATCTCGTCTTTAAAGCATTTATCACACTTGATGCGGTCTGCGGTCTTGTCAAATGAACGCAGCCCGCAACTGTCAGTTTGCGTTCTTTGCACAATAGTTTTTTTTAATAATATAACTTTTTTGTTCCAGTGTCCAGTATTTGACAACGAAAGAGACATTTTATATGATGGATACTATTTAACAATGACTCGTCGAGGGGGCATTACTCTGACGGTACTTTTTTAACCCTTTAAATGACATTGGGAATATACTTCCCACCGTATTTTGTACTTATAATAAAAATATTTATTTTTCAGCAAGACACATTCCCCAAGGGTTTCTACATAGTGTTCATAGTCAAGACGTCAGACGACGACTGCACGGACCGCGCCGCCAATAGTTCACTTCCCAAGATGGCGCATTATTTGGGCTGGGGAGGAGAAAGCGTGGTCTACGTTCCTACGAACGACGGGAGAGTGAAGCAATTCAGGTACGTCATCATCATCATCATCATTTCAGCCACAGGACGTCCACTGCTGAACATAGGCCTCCCCCAATGACTTCCACATCGCCCGGTTGGTAGCGGCCTGCATCCAGCGCCTTCCTGCTACCTTTATCAGGTCGGTCCACCTTGTGGGTGTGTGTTAGGTCATCATCATCATCATTAGGTCATTTAGCCACTGCCGAGTCAACCTCACTCTTCCCGTGGATGTCGTAAGAGGCGACTAAGGGACAAATATGCGAGCATCAGGCCTCCCCAACCCGTCTGGCCAGCGTGGGGAGTGTAGAGCACGTAGAATTTTGTCCAATGACCCCAAGCTACTCATCCTTGTCGCTCGCGCGTAATTATATTGCTGTCGCGACTGTGCGACGGGCGCCCGCAGTGAGTGTGCGAGCGCGATAGCAACATAATTACGGGCGAGCGATAAGGATGGGTAGCTTGGGGTCATTGGACAAAATTCTACGTGCTCACGGACCAGGCTATAGAAGGCTTAAATAACTCATCCAAGATTTATGCCCGTATTCATAAACATTACTATGAGGTCTCACAGTGCGCGTGGACGCACAGGGTGACACACGAACCAATCACAGAGCTCTATTCAAGGCTGTGCGTTCGATTTGCTGCTTCACTTAAGCAAGCATCGCTTGTGAATACGCGCGTTATTTTTGTTGCAGTTTCAAAATAATCGAGACCATCTCCTACCAAGAGTACTTGATAGCGGCGGGCGCGGCTTTGGCCTTCTTCTTATCATTCTACATGGCTTTCATCATCGTCATCATCTGCCAGAGGCGAAAGATTTTAGGGAGCACTGCGACGATCGACAGCGCGAATACTGAAGGTGAGATACGTAGCGTGGGGTAGCAATACACCCCAGTTGATGATCTCCACAATACCCCCCAAGAATTGCGAAGACTAAGGTTAGATACGCTTGTTTTTGTTCTGGGGTGCACTAATACCCCAATCTGTCTGGTGCTGGGGTGTGCTAATACCCCGGTAAAATTGTTAATTAACTATATTGACGTCAGATACTTGACAGACGACAGCGCGAATACTGAAGGTGAGATACTTAGCGTGGGGTATAAATATTAAATACACCCCAGTTGATGATCTCCACAATACCCCCCAAGAATTGCGAAGACTAAGGTTAGATACGCTTGTTTTTGTTTTGGGGTTCACTAATACCCCATGCGATAGTACTGACTGGTACAAGAAGCTACTGTGTCGCCATCTGGCGCACAACACGCGTATATTTTCTTCTTTCCATAACAAATCTTTTTTTTTACCATAGGTGAAGAATACGCACGCAAACGGCACTCTTACCCTTAGTCAACAATACCCCGATAAAACCAGATGTTTGTAAGTTACCTTAACAGTGCGAATATCGAGGGTATTATATTTAACGTCCTGGGGTACCCTGATACCCCACTCTGACACCACGTTAAAATGTGATTAAGATTTGCAAAAATTTTACCAGCCTTGAGAAAAGATAAATTCCAAAATTATGAAATTACAATACCACTATAATCTTACTATGGGCCTCATAAGAAGGCTCAAGGTCACCCAAAGGGCGATGGAGCGGGCTATGCTCGGAGTTTCCCTGCGTGATCGAATCAGAAATGAGGAGATCCGCAGGAGAACCAAAGTAACCGACATAGCTCGCAGAATTGCTAAAATCAAGTGGCAGTGGGCGGGGCACGTAGCTCGTAGAGACGATGGCCGCTGGGGCAGGAAAGTTCTCGAGTGGCGACCACGGGCTGGAAGACTAGCGTGGGCAGGCCTCCTACTAGGTGGACCGACGATCTGGTAAAGGTCGCGGGAAGAGCCTGGATGCGGGCAGCGCAGGACCGTTCATTGCGGAAAACCTTGGGGGAGGCCTTTGTCCAGCAGTGGACGTCATTTGGCTGAAACGAACGAACGAACGAACAATAACCTTACAGAAGGCCGCCTCACACCCGACGCCATCGGTCGCAGCGCTCCCGTAGCGGTGACAGATGCAAGCGGCTCTGGCGAGAGCTCGACGCGACGAAGACGCGTCGGCGACGGAGACGGAAACCTGTCTTCGCAGCGGACCGGTAAGTGGGGTGTAATTGTACCCCAATATTTATGGGGTAAATACAGGTAGGCCAAAAAATAATGATACATATAAATATAAAATTTAGACCTTCAAGTAAAATAAAAAAATTAAAAAAATATGATTGAAATAGAAAAACACGCGTTCAACGGGACATTTTTATACAAGGTGTCCCAAAATTAGCACGTCACACTGACACTGGAGGTAGCTGAGTCTAAGACGCATCGAACAAGCTTTAGTATGTCCATAGAAAAGTGTCATAAGTTTTAAGATATGACCAATTTTATTTATTCATTTCCATAAAAAAGTTTGATGCGTTTTGAAATATGACTCATATTATTTATTTGGCACAAGTTGGACCGACGACCAAACGATCGACATGGAAAGCATTGGGGGAGGCCTATGTTCAGCAGTGGACGTCCTATGGCTGAAATGATGATGATGAAAAGTGATTTCTATGTAATGTACGACGTTTGGTTCGTGAAAAGGTGATACATGGAAAATTACGTAGTATAGATTTTTACAAGCCATACAAATTGTGAACCTATTCCAATGGCATTAAAGTCCAATTCAAATTGCAGCGGAATGCAGTTCGTCGTCTGACACCGAGTCGGACTTCTCAACGCTCGACGATGCTAACACCGAGAAAGACGTCTACAGATTGGGCGGGAAACTGTGCGTCGCTAATCTGGCCAAGTAAATAATTATTATTTCTATACGTAATCCTAATTAACATTTAGCTAGTCGCGCCTAAATGCTTATACCAGGCCAATTCATCTCCGCGAGTTTACATCGAAAACAAAACACGCACGATGGCCCACCTACAGGATACTATTCGACAAGGCCTCACATACGAGCGAACAGTACTAAATACTGTGCAGTATTTAACTGCCTAAATAATAATAAAAACACAGAATGTACTTTTTTAAGTTGCCTCAAGACACTGAGAGGTAAATAAGTAGTTAATATTATTCATGATAATTCATGCTAAATCATGTATTTCCTCCGCCATTTTCCGCAGTTTGGCACCTCACGTCACATCATTTTACCGAAGTCAGCCCTATAGCTTCGGCGCAGTGCCGATCACCATAGCTGGGCATTAACTCGTTAATCCGTTAATCGTTAATTAACGAAGTTAACATTTCTATTAACGGATTAACTTTTAAGTTAACTTTAAAAAATGTTAACGGACTCGTTAACTTCCGTTAAATTATCCTATGTCCTTTAATCGTTAATCCAGTACCAACTATTTACCAAAAAGATACAGTAGGCCCGCTGAAAAACGCGTTCTGACAAGTACGTTCTGGCTTCCAGAACTTCCAGAACTCAAAACATCAGTTTTTGTAACCAGATATGCCGTTAGGCTCTAAAACTGCTGGCACATTGACGGCGACAAGAGCTCTGCGGATGACGTCATTGATGCAGGCGTGTCAGGAGACTCGACCAGCGCTCATTTGACATGAGAGGCCATGGTGTCCTAACTCACCGACGCGAGTACCGCAACGACAGCGATGGGGATGGTTTGTCTTGACGCCAAGTCTAAAGGAAATGGCAAGGGAAAGTGTACTCCTGTCAAGCAGAGTCCCGATATTGGCCGAAAGAAGAGCATGTAGCCAATAACCGGACTCTGCCTGAAAGACCGCTAGTAGGCGAGCACGCTCTGCAGCATTTTCGGAGGAAGCCAATAGTTCACTCTGAAAACGCAAACAGAGCGGCTCGTCCCACTGCCTCTGAGACGATAGAGAGGTAGGTGGATCGGCTCCCGGGCATGCCCTAGTCCAAGCGTTTCGAAAAAAAATTTTTGAGTTTCAATTCTAAGTATGGGGAGCCCCCAATATTTATTATTATTATTTTTTATTTTTGCATCAAAATATTCTGCGGTTCACAGAATACATCTACTTACCGAGTTTCAACAGTATAGCTCTTATAGTTTCGGAAAAAAATGGCTGTGACATACGGACGGACAGACGGACAGACAGACATGACGAATCTATAAGGGTTCCGTTTTTTGCCATTTGGCTACGGAACCGTAACAAGCTTTTATACTGAAATGCAGTTGTACTAAAACGAAAAAAATAATTGTACTTATGCAAGGTTCAAATAATTTCGAAAGCTTGTAGCGCAAACATAAAAGAGGAATAAATTCCATGCGCGATACAAGCTTTCGAAATTATTTGAACATATTATTTTTTTCGTTTTATTATATTTATCATGTGTTAACGGATTAACGATTAACGTTAACTTGCGTTAACTCTTGCGAAATGTAACGTTTTAACGTTTAACGAAGTTAATTTTTTTATTAACGGTTTAACGATTAACGAAGTTAACTATTTGATTAACGGTGCCCAGCTATGCCGATCACTGACGTTTGTCAACAAAATGGTGCTTGACTCTTGAGACAGGCTAAATTATACCATATTGTTAATGACATTGAGCATATATTTTTTTTACTTATTATTATTCTGTGGTAGAACCCTTAAGATGGGAGGTACAGCTGAGCTAGAAAGCTAAAATAGTGAGACACGGGTCTTAACGCGACGTTTATTAATGAGTTACATTATGTACTCACGGCTTGACGTTTCGGCTGCGATGCTGCAGCCGTGGTCACAAGACTGGCGGCTCGCGGCGTCGTCCGTTAGGGCGGGCTTGAAGATTTTCAACTACCCTCAACCTCATATAGTCATTTGCTACACTACCACTAGTGATGTTACCACGACACACAACACTGACAGTATCCGTATCCGTATTCGTACTTGACGGCAAAATTCGCGGTTTGCATTTATTAATCACCGGATTCCACACTGGTGACAATTTAAATCCGTCCTCGATCGAAACTTTTATATTATTTAATTTCAATCGCTTCTCGAACTATCCTAGAAAAGAGAGCTAGAAAGCTACTACGAGTAGAACACACAATCACGCAAGTGTAATGTTTGCAGAAATATGACACTAACTCACTTGGGGTCCAATAGACCCCGCGCGACTATTTAAGGGTTAAGTAGTTGTGATTTCAAATAAATATTATATTTCTAGCTAGCGCATAATTGAGTCGGTGCCTGAGGCATTGGACCGGTGACATATGACGTGATAGAGCATACAGATCTGAAGCATATCTGAAAGGACATCATCCACGTTTCATATATTTTTGGTCCAAAATCAAAAGTGCCGGCCAACAAAAAAAAGTGCTGTATTCTGACAGAATACGTCCGCCTTAGCATTTGTTACTATGGCACCAAAGCTGTAGCACCACTATGCGTCGAGTATTTGAGATCTAAAATTCATCGAAAATTCATACATTTTTTGTTCAAAATCAAAAGTGTCGGCCAATAAAAAAAAGTGCTGTCTTCTGACAGAATACGTCCGCCTTAGCATTTGTTACTATGGCACCAAAGCTGTAGCACCACTGTGCGTCGAGTATTTGAGATCTAAAATTCATCGACGATTCATACATTTTTTGTTCAAAATCAAAAATGTCGGCCAATAAAAAAATAAGTGCTGTATTCTGACAGAATATGTCCGCCTTAGCATTTGTTACTATGACACCAAAGCTGTAGCACCACTGTGCGTCGTAGGTAGTATTTGAGATCAAAGTCAGTCGTTTCATATATTTTTAGAACTCAAATACTACGATGCACAGTGGTGCTACAGCTTTGGTGCCATAGTAACAAATGCTAAGGCGGACGTATTCTATCAGAATACAGCACTTTTATTTTTTGGCCGGCACTTTTGATTTTGGACCAAAATGGATGATGTCCTTTAACCGCTAGTCCTATGACATTATAAAGAGGAAAAATTTGATTGTGTGTTTGTTATTTATTGAATAGGCTCTGAAATTATTGGATCGATTTGAAAAAAAAAACGATACGGTTACGATCTCTTTCCAGGTTGATAAATGATGTGCTACGTATTTAATAGGACCAACCCCCACTTATCGTAAGAGGCGACTCTCTTGCCTCTGGTAAATTAGAGAGGGTCGTGCTCCTGCAATGGAGACTAACGCCGGTATTCACAAACATTACTATGAGGTCTCACAGTGCGCGTGGACGCACAGGGTGACACACGAACCAATCACAGAGCTTTATTCAACGCTGTGCGTTCGATTTTCTGCTTCACTTAAGCAAGTATCGTCGGCCGTTTGGTGTAGTGGTTCAGAACGGACTACTATGCCGAGAGGTCCCGGGTTCGATTCCCGGCCGGGCAGAAATTGAAATGATGAATTTTAATTTCTGTGACGGGTCTGGGTGTAAATATTTATAATATGTATGTATTTAATAAAAAAAAAAGTATATAAGTAGTATATCCGTTAAGCTAGCACCCATAACACAAGCATTGNAAAAAAAAAAAAAAAAAAAAAAAAAAAGTATCGTTTGTGAATACGGGTGTAAATGACCTGATGATGATGATTCTCCACAGATGCCGCCCCCGCGTTCTATCGGCGCGCTCGAAGATGTATCTGTGGAACGTTCTGACTGTGGCCGTGTTCTACACGCTGCCCGTTATACAACTGGTCGTCACATATCAACGGGTAAGTGTACTAGGGATGTTATGGATATGTAGTTTCGGTTATGGATACGGTTACGGATATTGGAATAATATTATTCCGGTTTCGGTTGCGGTTACGGATTATTCATTCTAAAGCACATATATCCATAACATCCCTGAAGTGTACCATCATCAAATTCAGTCAAACACACTTGGTGGGAAAATATTTCCCACTAAGTCACACCGTTACCTTCCCATGGATTTCTTTCGTTTACAACCATTGTACATTAGGCTGTTTTTTGGGGTACCCAATGGGTAAAAACGGGACGTTATTAGTTGACTCATTGACATTGTTAATTTATATTATGTACTAGCTTTCCGCCCGCGACTTTGTACGCGTGGATCCCGTTTTACCCCCTTAGGGGTGGAGTTTCGTAAAATCCTTTCTTGGCGGATGCCTACGTCATAACATCTACCTGCATGCCAAATTTCAGCCCGATCCGTCCAGTGGTTTGGGCTGTGCGTTGACAGATCACTGTGTCAGTCAGTCAGTCAGTCAATTTGAGTTCTATACAGGGTGTTAGGTAAATGGGTATATGAGCCGACATTAGCCCATGTTAACATGGTCATATAAATGGTATGGTGAAGTCAGAAAATTGATAATAATATCTTCATTTTAATTATTTTAATTTTCATACAAATCGATTTAAAAAAAAAACTTTGTATGAAAATTAAAAAAATTAAAATGATGATAATATCAAACTGACTTCACCATACCATTTATATGACCATGTTAACATATTCTAGTGTCGGCTCATATACCCATTTACCTAACACCCTGTATATTTAGAAGATAATGATGATCTATTAACATGTTTTGTTTGTATGTTTACCCGCATATTTTGTCCGCAGCTCCTGAACCAGTCGGGCAACCAAGACCTGTGCTATTTCAACTTCTTGTGCGCGCATCCGCTGCTAGTGCTGTCCGACTTCAACCACGTGTATTCTAACTTGGGATACGTGCTACTTGGGATCCTGTTTCTGGCACAAGTAAGTAATATTAGGGCCCTTTCATCATCATCATCATCACCTTAGCCATAGGACTTCCACCACCAGCTAACCATGGGTAGCTTGGGGTCATTAGACAAAATTATACGTGCTCACGGACGGCTTTAGTACTGTCACTTCAACCACGTATTCTAACTTGGGATACGTGCTACTTGGGATTCTGTTCTTAGCACAAGTAAGTAATATTAGCGGCCGCCCGCGACTTCGTGCGCGTGGATCCCGTTTTACCCCCTTCATCTATCTTACGCGGTTTAGATTTTTTCATACAAATGTTTTTTCCCGCTAACTCCTGTTCCCGTGGGAATTTTGCAATATCCTGTTGTAACTAAGCTTTAAGTTTACTAAGGTACCTGCATGCCAAATTTCAAGCGTGTAACTTAAGCGGTTTAGATTTTTCATACATAAGGATTTTCCCGCTATTTCCCGTTCCTGTGGGAATTTCGGGAATTCCTTTCTTAGTGCACCTCTACGGTACTTAAGCTACGTCCCTTCCAAATTTCAAGTGCCTACGTTTAGCCGTTTAGGCTGTGCGTTGGTCTGTCAGTGAGTTTCTCCTTTTATATTATTTAGATTAGGGCCCTTTCATCATCATCATCATCATCTCAGCCATAGGACGTCCACTGCTGAACATAGGCCTCCCCCAATGCTTTCCATGTTGCCCAGTTGGTAGCGGCCTGCGTCCAGCGCCTTCCTGCTACTTTTATGATGTCGTCGGTCCACCTTGTGGATGGACGTCTCACGTTGCGTTTTCCGGAACGCGTATAAATTCGCGTAATTATGTTGCTGTTGCGCTCGCACTCTCACTGCGGGCGCCCGTCGCACAGTCGCGACAGCAATATAATTACGCGCGAGCGATAAGGATGGGTAGCTTGGGGTCATTGGACGAAATTCTACGTACTCACAGACCGGGCTTTAGTACTGTCGGACTTCAACCACGTGTATTCCAATTTGGGATACGTGCTACTTGGGATCCTGTTTCTAGCTCAAGTTGTTTTTCTTGCTATGTCCCACTGGGGTATGGGTGTACCCCAAAGTATTGAGTGTGGGGTGTGGATGTACCCCAATAGAGAAGGGTTATAACTTTTTTAATTAAATAAATCACACTACCCTACTCTAGCCGGTTCTAAGGCATGGCTTATTCCACAGAAATAGGTATTTCTGTCACACGTCACTAAGAATATATAATATTATTTATATTGTTTTTTATTGTGATTCAGGTCTGGCGAAGGCAGCGACGTTACAGGGCCCGAGGCGTTGTAGAGGTGAGTTATTTTGGTGAACCTATTCGTAACAAAGCCTATTTTTAGCTTTCCCTTTATCCCAGGTAAGCGACAAAACGCGACAAGCGACAAAACGTCGCGACATAATGCGATACTTCACGTGACTTATTATGTCATATTCATATGTCTCTTTAACAAACACCCTGTATACAACAACTATTTGATATTTTCGAATGGTGTTTGTCGTTCACCTAAGACAACGGGTTAGGGCTCGTTCACACGGCAATGCACTTTTGCGGGACCAATAATGCTGGATCCTGCTCTCAGAGAGCGCAAGCGAAAGGTCATGGGTTCGATTCCCACATCAGGCAATTCGATTTTTTCAAGTTATTTAAAACACACTCGTAGAGTTTATAACAACAGTCGTTTTGCCGTGGGAAAGAGCTATAAGTTGGAGGAGTTAATAGAATCTATACTAATATAAAGGCGAAAGTAACTCTGTCTGTCTGTCTTGCTTTCACGCCAAAACCACTGAACCGATTTTGATTAAATTTGGCATAGAGATAGTTTGAGTCCCGGGAAAGGACATAGTTTTAATCCCGGTTTTTGAAACAGGGACGCTCGCGATAAAGTTTTTCTGTGACAGACAAAAACCCACGCGGGCGAAGCCGCGGGCTTTCCGCCCGCGTGGAACTTTCTAAAGCCCGGTCTGTGAGCACGTAGAATTTTGTCCAATGACCCCAAGCTACCCATCCTTATCGCTCTCGCGTAATTATGTTGCTGTCGCGCTCTCACACTCACTGCGGGCGCCCGTCGCACAGTTGCGGTAGTTTAGGGTCATTGGACAAAATTCTACGTGCTCGCAGACCAGACTATATCTATATTACTTTACCTATTTTTAAAACGGTTCAAACCTTATTCCCTTCCAGAAAGAGCTGGGTATACCGCAGCACTTCGGTCTTCTGTACGCGATGGGCGTAGCGCTAGTCAGCGAGGGACTACTATCAGCCGCCTACCACGTGTGTCCTAACAGCATGAACTTTCAATTCGGTGAGTTTTCATTACCACGTCATTATCATAATCACTAGTACAGGTTCAGCCAAACCAACGCGATCACACGCGATCAGCCGGCTTGCAGCGATGGCGACCAGACTTAAATGCATTGATCGCCATCGCTGCACGCCGGCTGATCGCGTGTGATCGCGTTGGATTGACCGAACCTTAAGTCACTTAAGGACGTAAGACACTTATCAACCCGGAAAGGGATTATTCTTTGTATTATTAGAGGCCGGTCGATCTATTCTCATAAATAAAACACTGGATACTCATCTTTCACATTATATTGCCTTATTTTAATTACAATTCATCACTTAGCACAAAAGCGCGCTGAGTCGTCTCCGCGCGTCCCTCTATTCTGACGTTTGATTCTCGTGTGACATTGACGTATTGTCAATGTCACTATGACAGCATCTCATTGGCTAGCTACTTTATCTCAAACGCAAGTCAAACGCTTCACGAAAATTTGCTGTTTTAGTAATTTTAGTTTGAAATAACGATACCGCTATTTTAACGTTTTATATTTTTCACAATTAACAGTATGAAACTCCATACTGCAACGCACACTTAGGCCCAGAACAGACGGTGAAACGCAACTGCAACGAAACTGCAACTGCTAGTTACTTTTGAGTTGCATCTAAGTTTCTGCCATAGCGTCCGTTGAGAGACCACACATGACGCGACCAGTTTGAAACTTTCAATTTCAGTTTCATTCATCAGAATCATCAGAAAGTTGCAGTTTCATTGCAGTTGCGTTTCACCGTCTGTTATGGTATATGGACACTCATGTGCAAAAGTGAACCATAATTTAAAAAAAATAGTGTTTTTTTGAAAATTCTAGGTTCTTCATCTCCATTCTCCATTCTTCTTCAAAACTAAAGGAACAAGGAAAAAACTTACATCATACTGATTCTTTTTCTTTGCTGTCTCATATTAAAGGTCTAAAAGGTCTTATTTTTTTCAATAGTGGTTAATTTTTGCATATGAGTGTCTATGTACAAAAATGTTGCAAATGATCTGTGGGAACCGGCCCTTCCTTGAAACTTCGCCTCATATGCTTTAAAAAGCTTAATTACAAAACTTATTGCAATTACTTCTTCTCACAGACACGTCATTCATGTACGTGACGTCAGTGCTATGCATGGTGAAGATATACCAGTCGCGGCATCCTGATATCAACGCGCGGGCACACGCTACTTTCGGAGTGTTAGCGCTTATTATATTCGTGGGTGAGTAGCCACTTGGGGTACATTTACACCCCAATGCTAGGTGGTACTAAATATAGCAAATAAAGATCTAATAATGTCATATTTAGATCCACGGGGATCAACTGGATTATTCTTAAAAAGTGCCCTGGGGTACGATTGTACCCCAAAACATGTGCGGTCTTGATGAAATATGGACTCTTTAGAAATGGTGGGTTCAATTCCCAGGGGCACAATAATAATTAAAGTTTTATTTTTCTTTTTATGTTAATATGCACGCAAGTAAGATTGACAAAAAATACGGTGTATCTGTTTTCAAAATTACGATTTTCTGTAAAGTGATTGAGCTATGTTAGAAACAAAAAATCTATAACAGAGCTGGGACCTCAAATAGTACAATAACCGTATTACAACAAATGGTACCTTAAACATATTGGTGGTGGGGTAACTAAACACCCCAACCTTTAAAAAAGTTGGATTGAAAATTCAAATATCTTGACCACTAGCGCTCGTACGTCTACGCTAGACAGTGAAATATGCCTTTTGATCGTTATAAGCGCTTGTTCCCAACGAGTCACACTAATCAGTGATAAAGTCCCCAACGAGTCACAGTGTTACAGTGTGACTGAATGGGAATAAGTGGTCTACACTAGACTCGACTTATAGAACGACGAATCTATACTTCTATACTAATATTATAAATGCGAAAGTAACTCTGTCTGTCTGTATGTCTCTCTTTCACGCCTAAACCACTCAACCGATTTTAATTAAATTTGGCATAGAGATAGTTTGAGTCCCGGGAAAGAACATAGGATAGTTTTTATTCCGGTTTTTGAAACAGGGACGCGCGCGATAAAGTTTTTCTGTGACACAAAATTCCACGCGGGCGGAAAGCTAGTATAACCTAAAATGTGTAATTAGTTTTCCGCTCCTAAGAGCGCTTACGCATTTAGGCGATTTAGTAGCGCGACAAACGCGCGACAGTCGCGCTGTCGAGAATTTCATACTATGTGACAGCGGATACATGCCTTCACATTATTAAAACGCTACAGCCGCGCTGCTGTCGCGCTTCTAACGCCATAATGTGAAAGCGCTCTAAAAATCTACTAAATTGTATTTCTGCAGGTCTGGTGGGCGTGTTAAACGCTAACTTCTACTTCTGGATCGCGTTCACGGCGCTGCACCTCGTCACGTGCCTCGTCATGACCTTCCAGATATACTATTTGGGAAGATTCCGCTTGGGTAAGTATGGAAAAATGTAATATAGTTGTTGCAATTCACGAAGGCGAGTGAGCTACATGTGTGGTGGCTCGCTACTGTTTGTGTTTCATAAGTTTTGACAGACATTACACTATCGTTATGTGCATGTACACGTATAGATGACCCACGCTGAACTGTCCCGCCAAACTCAATGACAGGGGGGCGCTACCATCGTTCAACTTTATGGTTTCCAACATGGCAAAAATCGGAACCAGCGATTCGGTATTGACGGTGGCGCCCCGCTGTCAATGTCATCGATAGGACAGTTCAGTATTTTGGAACTATAATACACACAAGGAAAGCGAATGAGCCTTCGTGAGTTGCAAGAAATATACTATCATCATCATAATTAACTAAATAAGAGGTTAGTCAGGCCGTTAGTGATGATATTTATGACGATTGCGATGGTCATGATGATGATGACAAATATGACCACTGTGATGATGAATGACAATGGCGGTGGTGAATGACTACAGTGATGATGAATGACAATGGTGATGGTGGCGATGATGAATAATAGCAATGGTCATGATAGTGACAGTGGTGATGATGAATGACAATGCTGATGATGATGCGTGCTGTTTAGTTAGAGAGAGCTTTGTTCCTGCAGTATTCATGAAACAACGATGATGATTAATGACAATAGTGATGAGGATGGTGACGAATGACAGTGGTGATGATGATGATTGACAGTGGTGATGATGAATGACAATGATGATGATAAAGATAATTATGGTGATGGTGATGAATAACAATGATGACTATGGTGATGATGACTTAGAGGGTCGTGATCCTGCAATAGGTACTAGACCAAATGACCTGATCTCTTGATGGTAGTGATGATGATGGTGACGAATGACAGTGGCGCCGATGATGATTGACAGCGGTGAAGATGAATGACAATGATTATGATAAAGATAATGATGGTACTGGTGATGATGATGAATGATGATGGTGATGAATGACAATGGTGACTATAGGATGACGCGTGACGTTTTCGTGGTTGGTCATGCTCCTTCAGTGGGCACTAAATGCTCTGATCACCTTATTAATGATGATGATTGTCTCTGATGATGACTTTGGTGATGACTTCAAGAGGGTCGTGATCCTGCAATAGGCATTAAATGACCTGATCACTTGATGGTAGTGATGATCGTGACGAATGACTGGCGACGATGATGATGAATGACAATGATGATGATAAAGATAATGATGATACTGGTGATGATGATGAATGATGATACTGGTGATGATGACAAAGACAATGACGGTACTGGTGATGATGATGAATGACAATGGTGACTATAGGATGACGCGTGACATACTCGTGGTTGGTCGTGATCCTGCAATAGGCACTAAATGACCTGATCACCTGATGGTAGTGATGATGATGATGATGTCATTCATTTCATGTGCGCAAACATTTTCTCGATAGTGTTTCATCTTCATGATTTCTGTTCAACCTCCTTTTTTTCCCCTTTTTTTTCCTTCTCTCTTTTTTTTCTCCCTTTGTCATCCATCCTATTATTATACAGGGTGTTACTTTGCATTCTTGCCATATTTACAGAGGTGACTATATTACTGATACTGATCACAAATCCGTTAAAAAATAATGCCCGAAAATTTTTTTTTTAATCTTGAGTATTTTATTTTATCGACAATCTGTTAAACACATCACTAATTATCGTAACGCATGCACATCACTTGTTGGCGATGGCGATGAAGACTTTTTTACTTTTTATTGTATTTTTAAATATCTTTTGCAATCTATTGTCTTTAAAATGTCTTTTTGACACTTGTAAAAAACTGAGAAATCCATCAATCACAAATCACGTTATAAATTATACAAAAATGTGTGAAGTGTATTCAAACAACGAATAATTTAATCAAAATGGTGCCTGGAGTGTCTGCAAGACGTCTTAGACGAAATGGTTGATGACGTACCCTTAGCGTTACACCAAATGCTCTACTAGCAGCAGGATGGTGCTCCCCCACAATAAGGACGTCAAGTGCGCGAATAATACGTTTGGTGAACAGTGGATTGGACGAGTGGTCCAGTAGCTTGACCACCACGATCCTCGGACCTGACACCAATGGATTTTTGGCGTGACTTGAAACGACTGGTATGCGCAGAAGAGATAAACAGTGTAAACGCGTTACATGAAAGGATTGTTTTAGTGAAACTGTGAGACAAAACGTTTATGTGTTGCGAAAACTAAAGCGGAATACCTACGCTTCGCCGTGCTAGACTGTGCCTTCATCAGAACGGAGGACACTTTGAACACTTGCTTTGCAGTACGTAAACTTTGTAAGTAGGAACTTATAAATAAATAATTAATTGTGAATAAGGTGATTTCATTTCATACTTAATTTATTAATTTGTAAAAATAGGGTACAATGTTAAAATTAATTAAAACCTTAATAATTATTACGTATTTTTGACGGTCCTAAGCCCTGTACTTTCTTTATGGGTGTCTCTTGTTTATCTTAAATAATAGGTATTGTTCCCTACTTTTATCTCTGTGAATATGGCAAGAATGCAAAGTAACACGGTGTATATGTATATGTCTATGTATGTATGTATGTATTCATATGTTATTTATGTAATTATTATTTTTTTTCTAAATTCGTATTAATTCTCTACCGCCTACTTTATTCTCAGTTTGGCCCTAAGGTTGACTGGCAGAAAATGCCGAAAGGCATTAAGTCCGCCTTATGTACACCGTTCTGTGCATATAAGTTTTAAATAAAATAAATAAATGATGACACTAATGTCTTCAGACGGCGGCGTGGTGTGTCGCGCGGCGAGAGAACTTATCACGCGTCCGCTCGCCGCCATAACGCCCACACACTGCGGAAGATGTGTATTGCTGGTGATAGCTGATGATGAGTGTGATGTTATGAGATACTTGCTTCTGAAGTAGTCTAAATATGATGATGATGGTGATGATTTTCTTGATGGAGACGCCGTTACGTTAGTGACGATGTGAATGACTGTGATGATGATGAATGATAACGTGATGATGAGTAATGAGAATGACAATAATGATGATGATGAATGACAGTGGTGATGATGATGATTGACAGTGGGGATGATGTATGACACTAGTAATGATGAATGACAATGGTTGATGATGATGATAGCGATGATAAATGATTATGATGATGAGAATGACCTATTGATGATGATATTGACGCGTGATATTTTGGGAGGGTCGTTCTCCTGTAGTGGAGACTAAATGACCTACTAACGAACCTAATGATGATGATGAATGGGTAGTAGTGATGATGATGATGATGATTGTCCCTCAGACGGCGGCGTGGTATGTCGTGCGGCGAGAGAACTTATCACGCGTCCGCTCGCAGCCATAACGCCCACACATTGCGGGCGCTGCGGGCTGCTGGTGATAGCTGATGATGATGATAGATAAAGGAGTGCTTCTGCTAGACTAGTAGCTAAAGAGGCTAAGCTAGAAAGACTAAATGAGCTGATGATGAATGACAGACAATGGTGATGATATTAAATTACAATGGTGATGACTGTGTTGATGATGAAATGGAGATCAAAGTCGAAAGGGGAGGGGAGCGTAAGTCAAATAGTCACGGGCCTCTTCTTATGAACTTTGGCGCGCTTTATCTCTTTAAATTTTCATTAGTTTGAAAAAGTGAAAAATACGTACAGGGTATTTTTTGATAAGTTAACTGACGGACTAATTAAAACTCTTGCTTTTTGAGCCAGGAAACATCCCTATTCTCCATTTTTAAGACTAAATGACCTGATGATGATAATAATGATGATGATGACAGGGTGGTGATTGGGTAATGATGATTGTCATGAAGTAATTATTTATTGTCTGTACAATGATGACTGTGATTATGATGCTGACTATGGTTATTATGATAATGACGTGTGGTGTTTTGAGAGGGTCGTGCTCCTGAGTTCTAATTCTGGTCCTGCAGTAGGTACTAAATGGTCTGATGATGATGATGATGAAACCGTTGGTGGTGATGATGATGATGATGATTGTCCCTCAGACGGCGGCGTAGTATGTCGCGCGGCGAGAGAACTTATCACGCGTCCGCTCGCCGCCATAACGCCCACACATTGCGGGCGATGCGTGCTGCTGGTGATAGCTAACTTGAGCAATTGGGCCATCGCTGCTTACGGGTAAGTATCACTTAGGCCCGGTTTTTTGATTCGTAGTTAAAATAACCAATGGTCATATTTGACAGATGTCAAATGACAAGTGGTTAAATATCAGAAAAAAATGTTTTTCGAACAATGGTTAGCATGACTTTTAGTACATTTTTTAACCATTAGTTTACATTTTGTTAACATTAAACCATTAGTAGCAAAATTTAACAATTAGTTATTTTAACTATGAATCAAAAAACTGGGCCTTACATAGTCATATTTTAGGAGATAGAGTCATTAACTTTAATTTGGTAACTCTGTGTGTTGTAGAATGCTGTTTGTTTTCCTAACAATAAAATTAAAATAAAAAACACAGATCACAGAAACTAAAGGGAGATGTGACAAGGGGGCGTGGCCGGTGTCGCAGCAATATGCCCAAAAACGGAACACATTGCTCGTGAATGCAATGATGACAGCAGCGACGTTATAATGTAAACAGTTTACATTGCTTGCGTAGTACTTGAGATTATTCGAACGTTGAGTACTGATACCGCAGTGGATAATGAGCAATATTTTGATTACTTTGTGTGTGTGAATTTCTAATGCAACCCTGAGTTTCGAACTCAGCGCATTAGTTGGCATCTCTCTATATCCCTATGGTCATTTACTTACATTTGAAAGGTTTCGTTCCTAAAGGGTGAAAACGGGGCCAAGGCCGTGTTGCACCAGCTAGCTTTTACCGTAACTATAACGCTAACCGATGTTTTTTGTATGGAATTTAACAAACTTTTGTTAAAAGTTAAAGTAGGATGGTGCAATCCAGCATAAAACTTCGCTATCTGTCTGTCACCAGACTGTTGGTTGTTTTGTTATCGATTTATGACGAAAAATGAAAAAAGAACCTACCTATTTTGTACGGAACCCTCGGGGGGCGAGTTCGACTCGCACTTGTAAAAATAAATTTACTATATTTAGCTAACTAAGGCATAACACTGACAAGACTTTGACGTTAAAATACTTTTTACCAAATAGTGTTAATTAGAGAGCTTAGTGTGAGTTTACATCAAAAGTCGTCACTATCGCATTTAAAAGTGACGTTTGGTGTAAACTTGCACTAAGCCCACAGGAAGGAACCACTTAGAACTTAACTTGGAGATCGTGAATAAGGCGCTTAGTATAAAACACTAATATTGCGTACTAGCGGCCACCCGCGACTTCGTACGCGTGGATCCCTTTTTACCCCCTTAGGGGTTGAATTTTGCAAAATTCCGTCCTAGTGAGCACCTACGTTCTAAAAGAAACCCCCATGCAAAATTTTAGACTTTAGTTTCTGAGATTTCGTGATGAGTAAGGCCCAGAACAGACGGTGAAACGCAACTGCAACGAAACTGCAACTTTGTGATGATTCTGATGAATGAAACTGAAAGTTTCAAACTGGTCGCGTCATGTGTGGTCTCTCAACGGACGCTATGGCAGAAACTTAGATGCGACTCAAAAGTAACTAGCAGTTGCAGTTTCGTTTCACCGTCTGTTCTGGGCCTAAGTCAATGAGTGACCTTTCGCTTTTATAGATATAGATTAAAATCAACCAGTTAAGCCACCCTTCTTCAAAGTCCCAATTTTTTCAGTGTGTCGCAACACAGCCGCGACTTCGCCTCTCACCTCCTCCTGGTGTTGATGAGCAACCTGTTCCTCTACACGCTCTTCTACATCGTCATGAAGCTGCTGCATCGAGAGACTATACGGTGGTACAGGTCAGTAGCACTCACTATGTTTCACACTAACTTTTCAACCAATAGGAAATATGGGACTATACCTTGTCCCAAATCATCATCATCATCAACAGCCCTTTACAGTCCACTGCTGGACTATGAGCCTCCTCCACTATAGTGGAGGGTTTTGCCATAATCCCCACGCTTGGCAGGCGGGTTGGAGATCTCAGTTTAAAAGATTGATGTTTGTCAGAGAGCGCTGCTGCCCGTTCTCTGTTTGATGTGTAGTCCCTAAGTCGCCTCTTACGACACCCGCGGGAAGAGTAGGGGTTGGTGACAAATATATTCTACTCTGCCGTCACCACACGGCCAAATAAAGGATGTAAATTTTGACAAGTCCTACTATGGGACTATTCCCACTTCTCGTTCCCACCGCTGCAACTCCTGTGTAGCCAGGATCTACAGCTTGACCGCTCAACCCAACCAGTGAAGGTCAAGTTTGTCCCGGGGGAAAGTTAAACTGTCATTGGACCCGCAACAAAATTATTTAGATGAACATAGGAGTTCGAAGTTAAGGTTCGACTTCCTTCAGCGCTAAACGGACGACAGGTGACAAAGGTTTAAGTAATCTTTAAAAAAAGATATACATCACGGAAAGTAAGCATTGAGCTACTTGACAATGTTTTTTTCACAAAATCGTTTCAAAGCTTGAAAAACCTTTTCCTTGTCGCGACATGATCAGTACCTATAACAAACAGATAAACGTGCTTTATTTATTTATTACATAATTTAACCGTTACATATTTGATTTAATTTACTTTTATAGTGTTTCTAAATACCTACTTAATATTATGTTTTCAGCTGGGTGTACATAGCGCTCACTTACTCGGTGTGGTTCGGATCGAGTTACTTTTATTTGGACCAGAGCACAAACTGGGCGGTAAGTCACTTTAATCTCTCTTTAGATATCTTTACTTATATTGCTAAGACCAGGGTTTATAAAATTACATTAAGTTGAAAATTATAAATAACTTAAAAAAATCGAACTGCTTAAGGCGGGAATTGAACCCACGACCTTCCGCTTGCCGGGCGACTGCTCTTCCAACTGAGCTACTTAGACACTGGATGAACCCGTCGAAATTTTCAAGTTTAGTACACTGTTACGGCCAGCGTTTGTTTCATCAATGCTGGGTATACCTACCCTTAAACATCTAACAGAAATATTGTTGCAAATATTTAACTGTCAGTTAAGATGAAAATGGATTTATTCACGAGATAAAGCTTAGCTCGATTTGTCACAAAGTTAACTTGTCACAGGAAAAAAAGCATGAGTAAATTCGTCACACTTTTTACATTTCTCGTCACAAATTGAAGCGATCTTTTACACACTTGTGACGAATTTACTTTCAATTACCCTCACAAAAGTGTGACGAGTCATCATTATGGCAATTCGACAATAATCTCTTGAAAGATGTTGCTGTAATTTATTAAGAAAACATCAGGCCTCCCCAACCCGTCTGGCCTTATCTTATCAACTCTGAAAGGGATCAACACTAGGGCTTGCAATATCGGATAGTTTTCAACTCCGGAACTGATTTCCGATATTGGGCACTCAACTCCAGAATTCCGGTTCTAGTTCCGGAGTTGGTTAAAAAAAGAAAGCGCCTCCCGACAAACACGTACACGTATGTGGCCTCCACTTTAGAACCTTGCCCCATCGGCCGTCTGTTCTACGTACTATGTGCCCTGCCCATTGCCACTTTAGCTTGGTAATCCGATCGCTATATGTCAGGAACTTTAGTTCGTTTAAGAATCTCCTCATTTCTGGTTCGATCTCGAAAAGAAACACCGAGCATAGCACTCTCCATACCATGGTGTGCAACTTTGTGCTTATTATAAGGCCTTATAGTAAGAGGCCACGTTTCCGAACCGTGTGTCATCACTACTGGTAACACACACTGATTATAGACTTTCGACTTTAGGCACTGAAGTGTTTTGGTCGAAAAGCTGTTGTGTAGTTTCCCGAACGCTGCCCAGCCGAGTTGAATTCGACGTATTATTACATCTCCCTGCCTCACAGCTCGCTGCAGAGAAATCGCAGAGGAATCGCCCTCGTATTCAGCCAGGCTCAAAGACCTTCACATAGTCTAAGAACGCCAAGCATATGGGCAAGTTAGACTCTTCGGTCTTCTGTATAACCTGCCGTAGCGTATAGATGCGGTATATGGTAGTGTAAACGTTTCGATAACTGGCTTTCTCGAGAGACTATAAGTCATCGAACCTACGCGCGAGACTATTCGTGATGGCTCTCAAAAACAGCTTGTAGACATGACTCAGAGTCAGAACCCAGATGGGTCTGTAATTCCTTAATAAGGCTTTTACCCCTTTCTTAAAGAAAAACACCACCAAGCATTTGTTCCGTGCCTCTGGCATTATTCCCTGGAGTAAGACGGAGTTACAGTCTATGAAGGACTTTCAGTATCGGCTTATCACCTGCCGCGTTCAGAAGCTCTGAGGTTATTCCGTCATCACCCGGTGCCTTGTTGTTCTTTAGCTGTTTGAGAGCCACCCTAATCACGTAAGGGCTGATGTCCGGCTAATCTTCGGTATAGTGTCGAGTAAGCTTAGCTGTTGGAATTGTCCTGTGGCTGAGCTATTAACAGGTTTTACTCNAATATTGGACACGTATAATTTTATTTGTCAATCTAACAAATAATTACATAGTTATGGTGCGTTGAAGTTGCGCACGACGTCACAACGTGCGGCATTTTTAAGCAAGCGTTGACGTCACGGGCCTCTTCTTATGAACTTTGGGGCGCTTTATCTCTTTAAATTTTCATTAGTTTGAAAAAGTGAAAAATACGTGTAAAGTATTTTTTGATAAGTTAACTGACGGACTAATTAAAACTCTTGCTTTTTGACCCAGGCAACATCCCCATTGAACTTGAATGTATAATTTGTTGTTTGTGTTTTGTATCTAAATATTACTCATTAGTTCGCCTCAATTTTTGTCGAGCGACCTATAATAAACCAACACTGCTTTATCTCATGAATTAGGCCTGCCCCTCGCGAGATAATGGTGCCTGCTCGCTTGAGATACGGCGCAGCCGAGTGCGAGCCCTGTGACTCCACTATTCTGTGGCAATCAGCTTTTAAGGTGGTTGATTTATTTGCCCACTTCTTTGGCTTCCTTGTTTGCAACAGGCCTTAGATGTTTGCTTATGCTTTGTGGGTAGGTACTGCTTCTTAAGTTGTCACGCGGTGTAAGTAAATTGGTGTTTTAGCTTATCGACGACAAAGAAAAGGAAGAAATTATTTAAGCTACATAATCTAAACAGACTCAAAAATTTTTGGTGATATTGTAATTAAGAGACTGCAAGATGAAATGAATAAGACAGTTCAGTAATCAACATCTTCTATCTGTTTTCACTTGATTTTATGTATCCAAGGTACAATTATCAAAATATAGTTAACTAAAAGTTACTGTTATATAGAAAATTAACTAAAATGCCAAAGTTTTATGCTTATTTCATGAAACTAATCAACAGTACACCAACTTTTATTTAAATTTTATCGAAATTATAACTTTCAGCACAATAAGTCACAATATTCTTCTTTACTGTATAATAAATTTTAGGCTACAAAGTTAAGGTATTGAAATATAATTTCTTAACCCCCATTTTCTCCACTATTGTAAGAACCTTTTCTTATCTAGGAACCAGCCTTTTCATCTACCTAATTTGAATATTAAAGTACATTACAATGTACTGAATTATTAAAGCCTTTTTCATTATAAAAGTATGTACCTACTTACTGTTAAAATCGTATTTTTTTTCTCAAAAACTGGTCAAGTGCGAGTCACACGTTTGTTGAATGGGAGTCCCACCTAAAATATTTACTTCACTCTGTTTTGGTTATCATCTGTGAAAATGTCAACTATCTAGCTATCACGGTTCATTATGTACAGCTTGGTAATAGACAGACAAACAGTGGAGTCTTAGGCAGGGTTGCACCATCTTACTTTAACATTAACAAACGTCAAAAATCTGTCAAACTCCGTACAAAAACACCGGTTATCGTTACAGTTGCCGTTAAAGTCAGGTAGTGCATCTTAGCCTTAGTAATATTGTCCCGCTTTTCCCCTTTATGTAAGGAACCCTAAAAGCAGTATTTTTTCGTAATAACGTGGCTCTTACGTTTTGACTCGTCTGTCCACCTGGGATTCGAACTTAGGACCTGTTTAGTAAGTATTAGAGCACACTCTGGGAGATTATTCCCGCTCCCGTAGCACTCGTTGGGCATCATTATGGTAATTTTATCGGAAATTTTCGCCTTCGACGCTTAGCGTGCGGGGACACACACGGATAGAAAGAATGGAGACCTTTTGGCTTTGGTAATTATTAGTGTCTGTCTGAGCTATTTGTTGCGGTTGATCTAGAAAAAAAAATATAAGTTGAGAAACATTAGATAACAAGCTTTATACATAATACTAAAGGATGAATTGTTTAGCTAGGTACAACATGGCTAATATTTGTCCCTTTGGAACCTACCAATGCTTGAGACAAGTCAAAGTACTTACTACCACCAAAGATCATGAACATAAGTAAAAATGTTAATTTTGTTTATTTCTCTTTGCCTGTCTTCTAATGCCAACATTCTTGTTTATCCTTAACAGAAACCCTAAGTACTGCATTTTGTTACATCAAAATTTTCTTAGGTACTCGTAGGTACCTACTTAATTTTTCGCATAAAAATATTCATCCTGTACCTAAATCTGTAACCATTATTCCTCTATTACCGTAACCTTACCAAATTGAGTTCGTGCTAATTTACCTATCACTTTAGCTCACCAAACAAGATGTCTGTGTTCTCCCACTCCTGGGATATTAATCTGCTGGATAGTCCTCTTACGGTATATTGAAGAGCTCATTAATCGAGACATCTTCGGAAACGCTGACCATGGTAACCTCTCATGGGCGGGCTTTGTAGCCACGAAATCAGCGATTGATTTTGTGTAATAATTTTTAGACCATGACATACGCCCGAGAGCTTAGTGTGAGTTTACGTCAATCGTCGTCACTAGAGAGCGCCTAAAAATGACATTAAAATGTACGACCGATTGTACAGCGCCCCTAGCGGAAACTTACAAGAACTAAAATGTTTATATATTTTTTTAACGCACTCACTAGTGAGGACTTTTGATGTAAACTCATATTTATGAACCGAATCTTATAGTGAGTAGTTAAAGAAAAGAAGTGCAGTAAACTTTGTAATTGATAACCAGCTATTGAAAATTACAGGCATACATTTTTTTTGGCTAAACTTTACTTTCATTTTGATTTTAAATAAATGGTAATTTATGTATGAACTTTATCTTGTTGAACAAACATCCAGTAGGCCTAAGATGCGCGCCGCAATAAGCGGTTATCACGCCATTTTATCGATTTTGCCCATACATTTTGGCGTCGTTAAAAGTTATCACGGCGCGCATCTTAGGCCTACAGATTAAGATATTAAGACTACAAAATGTCTTGTATTTTATTTTATAGTTTTTTGTACTGACGTAAATAAAATTATACAAATAAATACAAAAATCTGATTAGTCTGATATTTTCAGAGTGGGGATGATTTTAACATTTACATAGAGCTGTCGAAGTATGTCTGACGTTTATAACTGAAAGTTTAGGCTTCAAAATTATTCTACGTAATTTGACATGGTATTTTAAGGCAGCTGAAAGATGAACGTTCATCAGCAAAGGTTAAGTTAACGCAGTCCTTTGTTTCGCCATGATAATTACGCCTACGCGCCACACGGGCACTCTCGCCCTGAATAAAATATGTACGCAAAACTGGTGTGAAGATGTACTGGGAATCAAAAAGTTGAAAAGCTTATAACTACATGAAACCTGTCAGAAGTCTGAATAAAGAACTAGCAGTGCT